ATACTTTCTTTTTTCTTTTGTCTTAACAAGTATACATGTCATACATAACTTTATTTTCTAAGGATCCATTATTGCATAGCTTTGAGTTGGTTTTGTGAAAGAGAAAGGAATCGTGAAATCAATGTGCTTAAATTATTTGTAGCACTCAAGAGGATTCACATTTGTTGTATATCACTTGAATATAAAAAGGCATCCTCAAGTTGGATAAACCTCTAGGAAATTGGCTCAAGTTTGCTGTCTGAATACTCGAAGTTATGCCTATTTATGGTGACTGGATAAGGCCATAAATTGTGAATACTACTGCCTGTCATCTTTCCATTCATATGATGCTTACTTCTTTTTATGCCTTTGTTTAGAATTAGTTAGTATTCAGATCTGAACAATGAGGAAGAACTTTTTGTAATTGCTGTGAACAATCATTTCATTTTTACTCCAGTAGAAAACTGTTCATTAAAATAAAATGGAAATAACAAAGGTAGTGGTGTTTGCTTCTAATACAACTGGTTGAGCCATGCCTTATTTAATTAGCAATGCTAGAGTTGTTATGATTTTCAACACCCAAATTTTCAGTTTAGTTTAATTATATTTCAAAGTTTGATAGGCATAAGTAATATGAACTAGTAGGTGTCTGAATTGTGACATGAGTGGCCTGTAAAGCCCCATTTATAATACATATTTTAGAATAATTTGGTTTAGTAGTTTAAACTTTATGTCCGATGTGCCCATTGTAGTAAGACTTGTCTTATGCTGAAAAATGTATATATCACAGTTGGTTGCTGTTACGTCTAATTGTGTATGTGAACAAAATTTAGGTTATTCTTAATCAATGGACATCTCTAATTGACAAGAAGTGGAATAGTAAAGAATTCATGGTATAATGTTTTATGTTAATTGTCAAAAATTAATTTTCTTCTTACTAATGTTAAGTTTTGTTGTTTTTATTGGTGTTTCAATCGTGTAGGAACAATCACTAACTTATGTTTATATGTTAATTTAGTAGAACATTTCTTCTTCAACTAGGGTAGAATAAAAAACTACTTTTGACATTTAGGCACAAGGTTCCGGGAAAATAGTGAAATATGCATCTAACGGCCCGAAAAACATCACAAACACCTTGAGATTATCAGAAATTATCATGAATATTTTGGGAGGAATCAACATAAGTTGTGAAAACTTACAGAACAATCATAGGACTCTCGGTTGGAAAACATTTAGGCTTGAAAATAGGCCGTTAGGGAGTAAAATCTTGAAATAGTCGTTAAAAGGCCAAGAAATATCATGAACACCTTGAGAGGAACTAATGTAAGTTGAAAAAATTTACGGAACAAGTACGGTAAAATTTGGTTTAAAATTTACTTTGAAATTTTTATTTTTTCTCTTCTAGGTTGCATATTAACATATTTAGTGAATGGTTACCTTAACCTTTTTTTTTTTTTTTTTTTTTTTTTTTTTTTTTTTTTTCTTTTTTAAATGGCAGATTGGAGATGAACGAATTTGGTAACCTGCATAGTAAGAGTTTTTTGTTGATATTACCAAACACATCCATCACAGTGTAGTTGTACTTTTTGTTGATATTACCAAACATGTATTTTGATTATGTTGTTGTGGGTTATGATTATATTGTGATGGATCTTATCTTTTTGTTGATATTTTATTGAATAGATTAAAATGAACAGGTTTTTGTTGATGTTACCAAATGAACAGGTTTTTGTAATAATTTGTAATGGATATTATATTCAGCAGATTATTAAAATGCACAAGTTATTTTGATTGTGTTGTAGTTTTTGATTTTACTAGAATAAATGTTATAGTTTGGATGTTATATATTAATTTCTTGATACTATGAGACATGTATTTTGCTTGGGTTGTTTTATGATAATGAATAGTTTAATTTTATATTGATTTGTATTAGATATTTTATTTAAGGAAAATTTACCCATAAGTCCTAGTTTCTGAAAAGTTAAATCATTTAGTCCTAAAAGTTTTCTTATGCTCCATTTAGTCTCATTTGCACATCAATCTAATGTTTGAAACATTAATCTGATGTTCGAAATCTTCATCATCAACATTAAACATTAAACATCATCAAACATTAAACATTAAACATTATTCATCATCAACATTAAACATCAAACATCATGGCAAGGCACCGTTTAGTCCCACTACCTACATCAGTAACATCAACAACATCATCAACATCATCAAAACATTATCCATCAAACATCAAACATCAGACATAAAACATTATTCTTCAACATTAAATATTATTCATCATTATCAACGAAAAAAAATTGACACTAAAACTTTCTAATCCCAACAAATAATTTTGTCACACATATTCATTATTTCATCACTAAATTAAAATATTTGTTGACAAAAGTTTTTGTCACTAAAGGGTTTTTTTTTTCCCCATCTTTTGGTGACGATATTTTCGTCGCTAAAAATTTTATCGCTATTTTTAATGACGAAATATTTTGTTACCCAAAACAAATATAATACAAGTTTATTTAATTCTAGTGACGAAATGGACGTTATAGGTGACAAAATATTTAACATTTGGCGATGAAATATTTCGTCACCAAATACCAATAATAGGTGACAAAATAAATTTTCGTCATCAGGTACTTTTAGTGACGACGAATTGATGACGAACGTTTTCGTCACAGATCAATTTGGTGACGAAAATTTCACAATTGGAGACAGTGATTTTGTCATTAAAGTACCATTTTGTTGTAGTGTTGGAGATTTGGAGAAAAGCACTTGAATTTAAAGGATGCCGGATAAGCAGAACTAAGACAGAATACATAAAGTGTAAATTTAGTAATAGTAACAATGAAAACAAAGGAGAAGTGAAGATTGATAACCAAAAACTGCCTGAGAGTGATCATTTTCGTTATTTAGAATCGATTATCACAACAACGGGGATTGATGCGGATATGGCCCATAGGATTAAGGCGAGATAGCTTAAGTGGAGAAGTGCATCTGGGTACTGTGTGATAAACGAATATCCACTAGATTAAAAGGTAAGTTCTATAGAACGGCTATTAGACCAACGATGTTGTATGAGACGGAGTGTGGGGCAACCAAGAAACAACATGTAGATAAGATGTGTGTTGTTGAGACGAGGATGCTAAGGTGAATGTGTGGTAAAACTAGACAAGACAGAATTAGGAATGAGTATATTCAGGAATGGGTAAGAGTAGCACTGATAGAAGATGAGTTGAGAGAGAATCGATTGAGATGGTTTTGTCATATTCAACAGAGACTAATAGAGATAGTAATGAAGAGATGCGATACAGTGACCGTAGATGAAAGTGTTAGCAGACTGGGTAAGCCTAGATTAACGTTGGCTAGCGTTGTAAATAGAGATATGGATCTATTTAATTTGACTAACGAAATGGCCTTTGATAAAGCTGCATGGAGAGAAGGATTTATGTAGCCGACCCCATTTGATAGGACTTAAGGCTTGTTTTGGTTTGGTTTGGTTTATTTCTACTTATCAAAGATAAAATTATGTAAAATTGATAAATCTTTTACACATTTATTTATTTATTTATTTTATTAAATTAATTTTTATTATGTGCTTCGATGATAATCATGTAATAGGTGGTTGTTAGGTTTTTAATGTGTAATCGATACATTTAATATATGAAATGTTTGTAGTTTTAGAATTTTTTTATTTAATGAATTGGTTTAATAATAATATTAAAGTTGTTGCCATATTTGACTTTAAAAAAAATAAAAACTAATTTAATGAAAATAAAAACAACCGCCCATTACATGATCATCATCCCAATACGTAATAAAAATTAATTTGGTAAAAAAATAAATTAATAAATATGTAAAACATTTATCAATTTTACATAATTTTATCTTTAGTGGTTAGAAATAATTTTTAAAAAAATTAACATTTATTTTTGTCAAATTAATTTATATTTTATCAAATAGTCACATCGCTAAAGCCTAAAACAATAGCATACACAAATGCAAATGACAAAAAAACTATTACAATACTATCCATCATGTTCTGTGTCACCACCGCCTATAGCATTACCGCCCTATTCTGCACCATTGGAATCTGACAACAACTCATTATTGGATGACAAAACCATAATAGGATCTACACCCTTCGGCACAATGATGACTTGTGTGTTCTAAGTATGGCATAATTGTTTTTACTGGTTGAGAAGACAAAAAATCTACACGATCCATCAACAAATATTATTGGATACGGTGATTTGAAAGCATTTTTTCAATACAACTTTGAGCCACAATCTGACCTAATCTCACCAAGAGTGTAACGGCAAAGAATTAATATCCCATAATTGATGCACAAAAGCCTCGCTCCCAGTCATCCTAAAGACTAGAACTCATATTCTTGTTGGGATCTGGGATCCCGCCCAAGACCTTATAGAAATCATTGCAAGCAGAAAAACACACCCACACACAAGGAGACACAATATTTTACGTGGTTCGGCCCAATGCCTACGTCCACGGGAGAGTAACCGGTTATCACTATACCAATGAGGAGATTACAGAAAGATTACAATAGAGGAGGAGCTCACACTCTCCTCACTCAGCCACTCACCCGTCTCCCTCGCTCACACCGAGAGAGACGGTCTCTCCGCCTCACATCTCTCACTCTCTTTGTTGTCTCACGGTTTGCTCACACTAATCTCACCAAGAGTGTAACGGCAAAGAATTAACATCCCATAATTGATGCACAAAAGCCTCGCTCCCAGTCATCCTAAAGACTAGAACTCATATTCTCTCGGTCACCCAATCACTTGAGAGTAAACTCCCAACACCCTTGACCGTAATGAAAAAATAAGAGTTTTTAATGTAAAATTGAAATTTTAATTGAAATTTTAATTTTTAAATAAAAACGAAATTGTTAGACAAATTATTTCCATTCTAACCAGTATACCCAAGCGTATAAATATAGAAATGATTAAAATCCGATATGAAAACCATAAAAATCTAATATGTATCAGCCAATATTAAGCATACTACTAACACAACCACATAGAATGTACTGTGGTTTTCTTTACATACTGTATAGCAGATGATATTTGAAAGCAGACTACATTTACACAAAGCTTTAGCTAGAATCACAGTAGTAAAAGCCAAGAAAACAAAAAAGAAAATTTCACGACTATATGTATATTGCTTACAACACACTGACACTCCATTTTCAACAATGCCACGAAATCAGAAAAAATAGTCCATAAATGAAGTATAGACTAGATTCATTCTGGGTATAACTTACATCACCTAAAATTTTAATTTACACCAAATATTTTATTTTGAGACTACTTTTTATCTGAACGGACAGTCCCCACCGGCCTTTTGTAGGTGTACCACTTTGCCACCAAGAGATAAACTCCCAAATTGAGCACACTCAACACGGTCAAAAGCCAGAAAAAGTAATCAAGGTGACCACGGTTGAGATTGTCTGGTATCCACCCAAGATTCCCATTCCTAGTACTAATAGAGGTCACAATAGTCACCAAAAGAGAGCTCAAGTAGTTCCCTAGTGCAACTGTGGTGAGCGATAGAGCAGAGCAGAGACTTCTCATGGCATCGGGTGCTTGCTCATAGAAGAACTCCAACTGGCCAATGAATGTGAACACCTCCGCGCACCCAACGAGGAAATATTGTGGAACTTGCCAAAAAATTGACATGGGCATCTCCGGGAGATCATAGTAGTTGTTCTTTTTCACTATTTTAAGCCTAATAAGCTCCAAAATCCCCGCGGATAACATGGAAAAGATTGATATGACGAGGCCTATGCCCATTCGCTGGAGCTGTGTCAGGCCACTTTTGTGTCCTGTGTATTTTCTAGCCACTGGGACGATAATTCGATCATAGACTGGGACCCAAAAGAGGACACTGAGGGTGTCAAAAATGCCTAGTGAGGCAGGTGGGATCTTGAAGCTGCTTTTGCCAACATGAGTGTTCATTCTCTCTCCTTGCAACACGAAGAAATTGCCCATTTGGTTGTAGACCGTGGAGAAGATGATGCCGGTTGCCCATATAGGAAGCAATCGCACGATGGCTTTGAGCTCCTCAACTTGTGTCACTGTGCAGAGTCTCCATGGGTCCAGTGAGCTATTTCTATGATCCGATTGTATCTCCACAGCCGCCTTGTCAAAGAAACTGCACAAAAAAACATTGGGTAATAATTGGAAAATGAAATAGAAAAAGAAATATTGAACCGTTCCTACATTTCAGTTTACTGTCAAGATGTTTGGAAATTCTATGGAGATTACCGAACCATTCCCACATTTAAGTTGCCGCCCTTGACTGTGTTTTGCATTCATGGTTTTCAAAACAAGTTTTATAGCCTTTTGCAAGGTTACTTGGAATATGACACTTCTCTGATCAAAACCATGACAGTCCTTCAAACTTTTGTCATCATTTTCATGATAAGCTCAACTTCAACATTGAATTTCAATTCCAAATATCACTCATGAATGATTGTCGAGCTGTTTGGAAATTCTATGGAGATTATATTAAGTTCCCGCCCTTGACTGTGTTTCACAGTCATCGTTTTCAAAACAAATATTATAGCCCTTCGCACAGTTTATTACAATATGACACTTTCTCTAGTCAAAACCATGACCGTGCAATTTTTTGTCATCATTTTCGTGTAATTTTAACTTATGCTTTGAAAATCAATTCCAAATGTCACTCAGGAGATACTAAATAATGACATAGCTATCGATTGATTTAGAAACCTTGTTAAACCAAAAAGAGGAAACATTTTAGATGTCTTTGCATTTTGAAAGAAATCAAGAAAAACCACATTCATCAATTCAAAATTCAAACACTTACCCAAGATCTTTTGTGTGATCAAGCTTGCGGCTTCCTTCTATACTAGCAGACTCTCCATCATTAGTCTCATACAAAAGAGCCTTATCTTCTGGCACTTTAACCCGATATTTCATCAACGACGCTACGATCACCTGACATATGCGTGTCAGAGGGCTTCCCCCAGGCTTCTGGTTCCTATATAAGCGGGTCCCAGAAAAGAAACTCGCCACAGCAATCGCCATGGTCACCGCTGGAATGCCAAAACCCCATCCCCAACTCACATTGTCTTGTATGTAGACCAGCACAGAAGAGGCAATGAGTGCACCAACGTTGACTGAAAAGTAGAACCAATTGAAGAAAGAGCTCTTGTGCTTCTTCTCAGTCTCATCAGCATCATCGAACTGATCTGCACCGTAGGATGAGACACATGGCTTAATCCCACCGGTCGCCAGTGCTATCAGGTAAAGTGCAACGAAAACAACTGCGCTCTGTGCATGTGTTGGGTGGCAATCATCTTTTGCGTAACAGGTCGGCTTTAGGCCGTGCACTGTCGCTGACAATGTCAACAGTGTCATTCCCTAGATGCATTTGAAACATATTCAGTTTTTCGCAGCAAAAAGCAAATCAATTCAAACTAAAATGTTTCAAAACCAACATAAAACCTAGTCAAATAAGTTCACCATGAAATTCAACAAGCCAGACTTACAAAGACATAGATGATTGAGAAGCAGGCAATGGTCCAATATCTTCCTAGATAGGCATCGGCAACAAATGCACCAATCAGCGGTGTGATGTAGCATGTCCCGGACCAATCTGATTGATTTTTGGAAGCAGTTGCACTCGGCTGGTTGAGTTGATGCTTGAAATAAAGCACCAAATTGGAGCTCATTCCATAGTATGCTAATCTTTCACAACATTCATTCCCTGTACATAAACAAAAAAATCAAATAAAAAATTCTTCAAAATTATCAATTTCTGGTAACATGAATAATCAATGGAAAACATAAAATACCTAGGATGTAAGGGCAGGCTTTCCAGGTTCCTGTTTTCTTCTTATTGGCCGGATTACCACGGTAATCTACGGTCCCATCTTTTGTATAGTTATCTTCTTCTTCCATGGCTTTTTTCTACAAACTGGTGTTTGATTGTTTAGGGATTGCCTCCGTTTGGGAATTTAATCAAACACTGATGGAGCTCAAAAAATGTGCCAAACTGCAATGAACAGAGCAATTGGGAATGGTTTTTAAGTTGAACAACTACAATGGACAGCTTAGCAAGATAAGCAAACATAAGTCAATTCATTAGAAATCCAATTCTACAAATTTTCTTTCTTTTCTTTTTCATTGCAAGTCTAGAGCTAGCTGGTTGCCAAGCAGATATAGGGTTTGAATAAAAAAGTTCTGGTGATTTTGCAATGATTCCCAATTTTCTTTTTCAATCATATGCCATCTACCCAAGAAACATACAATATTAGAAGCAGTGAAATCAAACCATGAAACCTGACTTCACTCTCACCTAATGTGCTTGGTTCATGGATTTGGAGTGAGATTTGGAAAGAGAAAGGAAAAAGGCCCTCAAATCTATGAACCAAACAGAGTCTCAAACTTATCAACTGTCAACAAAAACTTTCCACCAGCAAACAATTGTTTTGAATTTTGGATTTGTGAAAGGAATACAACAGGAAAGGAAAGGCAAAAGAGAAACGAAAATTTTTATTTTCAATCCACAAATCACTCTATAAATCCATGATCCAAACACACGCAGTTTGACTGAGAGATTTGAAAAGGGAATTGGAAAAAAAAATAAAAAAAATAAGTGAAATATGAATAAAATATACTTATATTACACTTAATTTCACATATTTTTTTCATTTTTGTTTTACAAATTTCTTTCCAAATTACCAACCAAGCACAGTATAAAGAAAATCTTCTGAAAGTTAACAACACAAACCATTTTAGCAGGTAGAAATGAGAATTTTTTGTTTCTCATTTCATTGGACTTGGAAACTAAAATTAAGGAATAAATAAGCAAGTAGATAAACAAATAAAGGACAAAATACTATATATATATTTTTTGAATGTGATACATACTTGAGAAATTTAAGCAATACCCAAAAAGCAGTTTAGGCTCATGAACAGATCTGAAGGAGATGAGAGCAGCAAAAGAGGATTCACTCAAGTGAACAGTGAAACACAGTGGGCATTGCTCACATAACTCAAATACTGAGTGATATTTCTTTTTGGGGTCTTTTTGATTTATAAATAGATGATAATGCAAATGATGAGAGAGATGACATGGGATGTGTCGTGAAAGTCTACAAAACAAACATAGGTTTCTCAAGCTGTGTGTGTGTGGCTGTGGCTGTGGCTGTGTCTGTGTGTGTGCGCGCGCGAACCCGCACCAATAACAACGAAAAGTAATCCGATTGGAATGTGGGCTTATTGGTTATTTTAATCGATAATATATATATATATATATATATTTAAAAATTAAAATGTTAAAATTAAATTATAATCTTTGTAATTATTTTTTTTCTCAAAACATCAATTAAACTACAAAAATAAAAAAATTATTTTTAAACATAACTTTTTTAATCAAACTAAAATAATCAAATTATCAAAATTTAAACTAAAAAAAGTTCTTCCCAAATGATGGTGATGTATGCTCCTCCGGATTTGTTTGGCCAATTTCTTTTTTTCTTTTTTTGGGTCAAAACAATCCACAAACATGCAACAAAAGAGTTCACATTAATTTTTATTTCTATTGATTGATTTACTTGTGAGAATTGTCGATTTTCCCTAACATAATGGAATTTCCTTGGGACAAACAAAAAAAAAAAAAAGGAAAAAAGAGAAGACTATTCTTTGGTTCTTATAATAGATTGAGTGCCGTTGGTTCTTACTTTTAATGGATTGAGTGCCGTTTGGCAACTTCACATTTTTAGTGTTTTAGATTTAAAAAAAAAAAAAATTAACATGTTTAAAATGATTTTTTAATTAAATTAATAGTTGAGAGAATAAGAAAAAAATGATTAATTGATATGTATGATACAGTGTTTTGATCTTTTTAAAATCTTTTTTAATCAAAAAATCACAAACCAAATAGGGCCTGAATTAAAATTAAATGGACAAAAAACTTTTTGGGCACATTGAATAATATTCCTATTTTTATTTTTTACTTTTTTTCCTGCATCAAAAGTGATAAAATAGCAGAGTAATGCTCATAGTCTTAATGTCATGATGTGAACACTATAAATTAAGAATTTTACTCCGTTCGTTGCAAAATATTACTTATTTATTTTATTTTTTATTATTTTAAAATATTAGTTTTTTTTCAAAAATTAAGTACAAAAATGATAGAAATTTCCTATTTTATTATTCTTTTAAATTCATTAATAATATAAAAATATAATTATGACATTGATATTTTTCAAAAAATATACAATCAAAGAATAATTTTGAAAAATTAAAATTTTTTAAAGTGTAATAATTATACTATTAAAAAAAATTAAATTCTCTAAAAAAACATTATTATTTTGAGACGAAAGAAGTAATAACTTGTCCGTGGAATATCAAGTGGCCATGTGATCATTTTATTTACTGTTGTTTTCAAGATTAGTCACACGTGTCTTATTATTGCATTGCTAATGGCCACTTTGTGTTCTTTTTACAAATTTTATGAAAAATAAAATAAATGGTACTAAATAATGTAATTAGTGCTAATTCATCTAATTAGTGCCAAGTAAAATGTCATATAAGATGGTAGGCAAATATAATTACTTTAGCATGACAGATAACACAAAGTGCACTTTTTACTAAATGTCTTTTTTAGAATGTTCTAAATAAGTGTACTTTTTGACTTTTGAATTAAAAAGTTAAGGAAAAAAAATGGTTGTTTGTGTTAACTTTTTAACTTTTTATGAAAAAATGTGTATTAAAACATTGTATAAATTAGTGTGTCGGGGAAAATTAGGATTGAGAGTTGTATAACCATACTTTTTGACTTTTGGCGAATAGTTATAACTTTTTAATTTTTTGAATAATTTTTTTTATCTTTTTAACTTTTTGACTTCATGTCAAACTTGGCCAAAATATCATATTGTCGAAAGAAACCTTTATTTACAAACATATTCTTTTAAAAATGATATTCACGTAAAATGCAAGAATGCTAAGAAGGAGCTTTTTTTTTGTTTCAAAAATAAAATTATTATAACAAAATTTGATTAAAGATGGCATTAAATAATGCTACCACCGTGTACAAAAAGCAAACAAAAGGCCCAAAAGAATCCTTAATCGGAATCTTTCTTATCTTTACAATAACTTCATTTTTGGCAATATAATAATTGTATTAATAATAATAATAAAACCAGAGAACATTGTGGTAAAATGGATAGTATTTTTAAAGGAAAATGGAATGGCCTGGCCTACCATATTTTTGCCCATCTTGAAAAAATAAATAAATTAGTTTTTTTTAATTTTTTTTTAATAGAGGGTAAATAAATCAGTGTGGAAATAAGCAAAATTTAACCAAACGTTTGATCTGTTTGGATGGTGTCACTATGTTGGTGTGTTATGGTTTCACATCTAAACAAAAGACACTTTGTGAACATAAATTTTTTTGGACACTTTCTCCTTACAAGTCAACTTCCAATGGTGAATTCTATCAAGTGATTTGCATTATTTTTTTATTTGAGCTAATCCGTTAAAGTGTATAATATTGATATTGATAGGTGAGTAAAGTTACCGGAAGGGGAAGAGATACCATTAAATCATTATTAGAAAATGGCTACTATTGAATTAGTATTGATAGAGTGGGTTACTGTAAATATCAACTACAAAGTTTGGCGGACATCCTTACTTTACAAGTTGATTTTTACCTCTGTAAAAAACTTTTAACAAGATACTTTTCTATACAATTGAGATTTGAAAGAATAAATACTTGGTTGAAGAACACATTTCATTGAATGAATTACAAGCTAAATTATTGACCACTCCCAATGAGGGGTAAGCTCTAGGTTTCATACAGTTTTGAGTGTAGTAATATTTGTTGTTTCTAACATTTTTTGCTTAAAAATAAGGATTTAATAAAATATGTTTAAAAAATTCTATTCTCATAAAATCTCTTTCTTTTTTGTGCTTGCTTCGTCCTCTTTTAACTAGATAATATGTGTGACTTATACTGTACCAAATTTAAATACTCCGTGCACTAACATTTTTTATTTTCTTGGTAGTATGAAAATTCTATTGATGAGTCTTTAAAAAGACTTTTTTCTTGAAGATTCAAATAATATATATACGTTATCGTTCTTAGTATCATCCAATTTTCCCTTTTGACGAGAGTCGAATCCCTAATATTTTATACATGAGAGAGACCGATAATAGGGAAATCTTATAGTGTACGCCCCTTTTGGGATGTATATCACATACACCCTATCACAAAAATATGTAATTTTATCATAAAATTTTGTACCATCAACCGCAAGATGTATAATTTCACCATAAATTAACATAACAAAATATTCACAATTTTGTGATTGATGTTGTAAAAATTTGTAGTTTGGTTAGCATTTCCCCTCAATAATAACCACTAAACTAAGGGAAAACCTACGGTGTGCACCCCGTTAGGGTTGCATACCATATACACCTTACCATAAATTTATATGATTTTATTACAAAATTTCGTAATATCAATTATGAAATATGTAATCTCGTTACAAATTGATATAACAAAAAAATATCGTAATCAAGTCACAAACTTTTGTGACATCAACTATAAAATTTTAGACATTTTATTATACTAATTTCTAACGAAATTATGCATTTTATAATTAAAATTCAAAATTTCATAATAACATTATGTCAATTTATAATAGTGTACATGATATACACCCATAGAGGGGCAGACGGTCAGCTCTGCTAACTGTTTGCATATTGGAAACTTTGTTTCATGTTACCTTATTAATGATCCTTCCTAAAAGAAAAAAAAAAAAGGGTCTGTTAGTTCAAAAAAGACCCATTAAAATAAGGTTTGCAATATGAAAATACCATGTGCTTTTTAAATTTTTTCTTTTCAAGTAGTGGACCTTACCCAAGCTGAAAACAGGTGGCCACTGACACTAGGCTGAAAATTACACATAACAAAATTTAAAAGAAGTTCACATTGGCACATTGCCGGCAAGATAATTTTCTAACAAGTTTCTATAAAAGAAGAATTATAATTTGAAAGCTCAAAATAAACAATACATTCAAATCAATTGGTAGAACTATAATTTAAAACTCTAACCAAACGGAGCCTAAATTTTTTTGGACACTTTCTCCTTACAAGTCAACTTCCAATAGTGAATTCTATCAAGTGATTTGCATTATTTTTTTATTTGAGCTAATCCGTTAAAGTGTATAATATTGATATTGTCAGGTGAGTAAAGTTACCGGAAGGGGAAGAGATACCATTAAATCATTATTAGAAAATGGCTATGGCTACTAGTATTGATGGAGTGGGTTACTGTAAATATCAACTACAAAGTTTGGTGGACATCCTTACTTTACAAGTTGATTTTCACCTCTGTAAAAAACTTTTAACAAGATACTTCTCTATACAATTGAGATTTAAGGGTATGTTTGATTGGAAGGATTAAAGCATGGGATTAGGATTATTAATCCGTGGGCCCAATCATCCTATGTTTGTTTTGACATTTTAGTTTAGGACTATTAATTCAATGGATAATTAATCCAACAAATTTGTAGGATTATTAGTAATGTGGTAGGGGTGGGATAGTTAATACCACATTAATTTGATAGGATTATTAATACCTCACTATTAATATTGTGAATCAAACATGGCCTAAAAGAATAAATGCTTGGCTGAAGAACACATTTCATTGAATGAATTACAAGCTAAATTATTGACCACTCCCAATGAGGGGTAAGCTCTAGGTTTCATACAGTTTTGAGTGTAGTAATATTTGTTGTTTCTAACATTTTTTGCTTAAAAATAAGGATTTAATAAAATATGTTCAAAAAATTATGTTCTCATAAAAGCTCTTTCTTTTTTGTGCTTGCTTCATCGTCTTTTAACTAGATAATACGTGTGATTTATACTGTATCAAATTTAAATACTCCGTACACTAACATTTTTTATTTTTTTGGTACTATGAAAATTCTATTAATGAGTCTTTAAAAAGACTTTTTTCTTGAAGACTCAAATAATATATATACGTTATCGTTCTTAGTATCATCCAATTTTCACTTTTGACGAGAGTCGAATCCCTAATATTTTGTACACGAGAGAAACCGATAATAGGAAATCTTATAGTGTGCGCCCCTTTTGGGATGTATATCAC